TCTGCATAGTGTATTACTATGTAAAGGCGTTTACCTCTATTTTCAGTCATATATCATTTGTCGCACATGTCCTCCCAGATGTAGTCTTAACGTGTCAGCAGACAATTCAAGTGGATTAAATGTTGTTTACAAATGCCATTAATGTAACGATCATTCTGGCAAGTAATGAAACAATTCATAGCAACTAGACCTGCTGTAGACCGCCACTAATATCAACTCCCGCCCCCACTTAAGCTATTGATGGTCAACACACGCAAAAATAAATCTATATTCTGCGCCGCCAATGGAAACGGTCGGAGTGGCTGCAGTTGATGTTAAATGTTTGTAACTTTTTGCCATTTCTCTGGCCAAAGCGATTGTTAATGAAAGCCAAGTATTTATGTTTACCCCTAGTTTTATTGGCAGTAGTTTATGGTAACAACATTTATATCCCACTTGAAGCATGAAGTGTAAATATGTATGAAGAAAAATGGGTGGTGATGGAAATGACCGAATGTTAAAATATTAAATAATGGATACTTGTGTGTGTGTATGTACAGAATAAAAACAAGTAAGCAAAGGCTACAGTCGAGCGGGGCCGACCGTTGAATACCCTACAACACTATAATAAACGATACAGTTTATATGGGCGAGATACTCAAAAGGATTCCAGGTTTCGTTCTCTAATTTTCGAATAATAGCAACCTAAGCTAATTTGCTCATTTCCAATTTATTGGTAGATGTTGCACTTAAATGGTTTTCTTAGATCTGGAACCAATATTTCCCAAAGACCTATAATCTCTCAGATGTGGCAAAAGATTAACATTTATTATTGGTTTTTGACTGAAACGCATCTATATGAGATACAGACATTTGACTATATTCTCCAACGAAATCAGCTTCAACGAAATAGTTAGAAGTGCGTCTTTCCTGTATTTGTGAATTCTCCAAAAAGTCACTAGAATGGACATTTTCGTATTTTGTCTACAAAAATTGGCAAACTATTTCACACATTGAATATTTTTGGATGGCCATCCAAAACTGCTTGGCTTTTGTAATGTCCGGTAACCCCCATTGAAATGTGCGTGAGGATCGGGCGATAATTACGACCTGCAGACAATATTGAAATTTGTTGGTCCATTTCAGCCCCTAAATATATGGCGATCATCTCCAAAAAGTAGGCTTCTATTCTGACCCTCATCTTATCCCCATGCAAAATTTCGTAAGGATCGGGCCATAAATGCGATCTGTATATGATATCCTGATATCCTAACTACTTAGTTTTGTTAGCTGTAGAAATATTACCAAATGTTTAATTCAAAATGAAAATATGCCAAAAATATGACAAAATTGAGAAAATATGAGAAAATTTTAAAAAATCAATATTTTCATCTTTAGAGAGATATTTTTATGAGATTTTTTAGACGTTTTTTCTTTCCTGCCAAGAGGCCATTCTGAATTAATGAGAACTGTCGAAATCAGTTCAGCCGTTCTCGACATATATGAGATTTTTCAAGCATATCTTCTTTGATAAACATATAGTTTGCTATATATCCGATTTGTTGGATCTTAACATCAATGTAAAGATCAGAAGTAACCTTGTCATGGCTTTGTGATTTCGACGGGTTTTAAAATATTCGCGGTTTAATGAAAAATGTTGAATTTTTTCAACACAAAAGATATGGTCTATTTTACCCGCTAAATATTATCCGATGACCACCCAAATTGGTAGGCTTCTTCCCCGCCCTAAACTCTAGCTACATGCGAAATTCCGCGTCGATTGGTTTATAATTGCGACCTGTATAGCTACTGCAAAATCCGACATTTTTTCAGTATTTGGTCCATTTCAACCCCTAAACATTTGGCGATCATCTCCAAAAGAAATAGGGTTCTATTCTGACCCCAGTCCCACCTCCATTCTAAATTTCGTGAAGATCGGGCCATAATTGCGACCTGTAGAGTGATTACAAATTAACATGGACAGACGGACAGACGGACGGACGGACATACATAGCTAGATCGACTCAGCTCGGCGAGCTAGGAAGATCCATATATACTTTTCTATGTGGGAAACCAATATTTCGAGGTGTTACATAATTTTTGGGCCAATCAAATCAAACATAGTGTTGTAGGGTATAATAATAAAATCAGTAGCAGCAACAACAATTTCGAAATAAATAACAACATTGTAGAAATAAGTATAAATACTATCTGAAATATATAAATTAAAAGCAATTGTTTTATTTCCACACACACACATTCGTGCAAAATAACAATTTCCTTTGAATTAAGTTATTAAAATAATTTGTATTAATTTGTATCTTATCCACCATCAGTGGTGAAAGTTTAAAGAATTCATACTTTTTTATACTTCGAGTATATCCTAATCAAATTGGTAAGGGGATTACATTAAATTTGTCCATTTCCATTATCATGTTTTCTTCATTTTCAATCATTCCATTTGGTTTTTATCATGGTACAGATTAATTGCTAAATCTAGGTTTACACTTTATATCGATTTCTTATTTGTACACTAAACCGTTTAAAAGCTTAAAAGAGTTATCTATGAATTTGATTGGGCTGCTTGATTTTTAGTGCACTTAATGCTTAAGGTTAATTGGGGTCAAGTTATACAGTTTCAGCAAGAGGATTTGCTCTTCACTTTATGTTTTTATACCCTACACCACATAGTGGTAAGGGTATTATGTCTTTGTGCATAAATATTTTGTGTCTCGTACCATCGCTCGTTAGCGTAGCCCGGCGTCAAGGAAGTGGATGGAAGAAAACAGCAACATCAGCAGAAATGGTTCGAAAAATAAAGAAGCGACATGATCGAAACCCGCGTCCCAGTGGCCGAAAAATGGCTCGGGGCTGAACATATCGCAATATTCTATTCGGCAAATTAAAAAAAATACCTCGGGGAAAAGACATTGAAATTCCAAAAAGTGGAAGAACTTGCACCGCAACAGAAAGAAAATAGACTCAAAAGAGCTAAAGAGTTGCTTCACTTGGTCGAAAGTGGTGAACTGCCGAATTTTGTTTTCTTCGATGAGAAAACATTAATCGTGTTTACTTGCCAAAGAGGTCAGCTGAAAATGTGCTCCTTCGGTTGGCCACCAGAACTCAAGCGCCGGCTATGACGATGGGGTGGGCCACAATTACAGTCGATGGTTGCTTTCCGCTCGTATTAATCGACCGTGACATCAGAATAAATGCCGAATATTATCGCGAAATTATTCTGAAGGGTGTAGCTTCGCAAACATTTTGGCCGCAGACCTTGGGCATTCCAACAGGACTCAGCATTATCACACTCGGCACGCGCCACCCAAGAATGGTTACAAAATGAGGTTCCTTACTTCATTTTCAGTGCACTATGGCCACCAAAATCCGTTGGACTATCGTGTCTGGAGGTTAGCACTAAAAACTACCAAAGTGTCGATCACCTCAAGCAAGCGCTTCGCCGGAAATAGGCCAAAATATCGCAGAGCGATATTCGAGCAGCGTGTGACGGTTTCATTGGCCTTTTGAAGTCCATAACTCGTGCCAAAGGTGTCCAATTCGACCAAATCTAAACTTATTCTAAAATTTGATGGTATTTCCGACATTTCTTGCTCTCATTCAATAAAATTAAAAACAAAATGTAAAAATTATGACGTTTGACTTTGTTGCAGTCTTTTTATCTCACCATGTATCTTCATCCGATATCAGGTTTATTTCCGAATACGCATTCTAAAAATAAAACTTCATACCCATAATTTTCCGAATACCAAAGATCATAATTCCAATTCTTAAACAGAAACCACCTCCTTGTATTAGGCATGCTTTCCCATATAAAACATTTAGTTTTATCCGTTAAAAAAAGTCATGGAATATCCATTAAGCTCATGAAACGCGAAATTAACATCTGATTCCATTCCGACTTGGTTCATCTCAATATTTCCATCAATATCAAAAAGGTGGTGGGGATTGCACCAAATCTTCCGGAACCTCCCTCAAAACGGGTCCACATTTTGAATAATTATATACCTCATAAAAAGCGAAACGAGCATCTGACTCTTTTAAAATTTTACACTTACCAATCTATTAACACAAGATATAGTGTAAACTTGAGATAGACGGAGTAGATCGATAGCTCCTTCTGGTAACTAACACAAGATATGGTGTGAAGATGATAGATATCGGCCTACCCCTTGTACCACACTTGGTATATCTTAATATTTCCCTCAACAATACCTTCTGGTACCTCCTCCCCTACGAAAAGTTAACATTTAAAATTTTAATTTACAACTATTCGCATAAAAATAATAAAATTGAAAAGAAATGTTCGATTTCCTTTTCATTTTGTAAGTCTCACTATTTTTATTGGTATTAGATGAAGTGGAATACATCGATCTACTATATCTAATACCTCGCGCATATTTCAATATTCTCTAGAAATTATCGCATATATCATATAAAGTGATGTAGTCCAAATATGGCACGGTGTAATATTTACATCAGACATATGTCAAAGAGGAGTTGGACAATATTGGCCAACTCCTTCGGAACCGCCCCCATAAAGGCATAACATGATGAATCATAAATACAGTTGCCAAAATATGTTAAAATATAGAGGCATAAGTTAAGGGGAATGCATCGGTGGGAAAAGACCGACAGATACATTTTAACTTGTTTTTTTTTTTCAACTTTTAAAGTTCTTTCCACATGGTGGAGGGTATTAATAGCTCGGTCATTCACACTTTTAGAGGAAACTCTCGCTCTATTCTGAGTAGACTCGGAGAAAAATTCCCACCTTTTAAGCAATACTGCTCGCGAGCAAGTTTCGCTCCCTCGCAAACCTGTGCTTTGATTTATATTGATTGCAGATCTGTGAGAAACACCATTTTTTATTTATTTATTTTTTTGTTTTATTTTTTTATTTTTTTCAATATAATTTTCTCATAATTTACTTATTATTATTTTTCTTACATTTTAATTTATTCATTTTTTGTTTTTCATTTATCTTTTTATTTTCATTTTAGGACTTTTTATCACAAGATTATAATGATGTTGATTTTAGTAACTTAGCTTCGGTATGTTCTACTCTTAATTTAATTTTTAAATTTTATTTGATAATAATAATTTAATAAAATTTGTTGTTTTTCTCAGAGAAAACCAAATCGGGGTTTTAAGGTAAATTGGCTTTTTTCTAAATCTAAATCAAAATTTATTCTATTCATATTCTATTCTATGTATTGTTGGGATTCAATAAGACGTTTGACAAAATTAAGTGTTACATATATTTAATTTAATTAGCCGCAGCGCATTATCAGATCTCAACAAAACATAGAAATGAATGAAAAACAACACGTTTCGTTTTATATTTTATGTGTTTTTTATTTTCTTTCTTTTTATGCTTTTATGTGTTTATGTTTTTAACAATTTTAATTTTATGTTTTCTATTAACATTTATTTAATATTGTTTTGTTTTTGTTTAATTCATATTTTCCTTTTTTTTATTTTAATTTTATCAACATCCATTGTTCATTAATAGTTTCCCAGTTTAGAAGAAGCATCCGGTGATTATTCAGATTATTTTAGTTGGGACAAAGTAAGTATTTTTTTTTTAAATTATTCACTAACATTATACTTAAGAAGGTCAAATAATAATATGAACAATAATTGTTATTTCCAATTTAAATGTTGGCATTTTCATCTTCAATGCTATATATTTGCATCAGATGTTTTATAAAGACAAAACGCTGATGTAAAATAATCATAATAATATCCCAACCAACAGACGGCAAACCTGTTTTATTTATGGGCAAATGAGCGACGGTGCGCAGTCACCGTCAGTTAAGTCCCCAAAATATGGAGATTAATTAAGGGAAACATTCTGTCGTTTTGAAATTTGGCCCACGCGTTGGTATTACTCCTAGGATACAGGGTGTGCCATATAATGTTTATTTTTCTTATTGCGTGAGTGATAACATTTAGCTCACGTCTGATTTGAAGGATAATTAGTTTTATCCTTCCGCTGAAGGAATATGCATGTGACATTACAATACTTTGAAAATCGAGCAACTATATTTACCAATACAAGGTCTGGTGTGAAGATGGCATATACCGGTCCACTATTTCTAGTACTTCCACCACAAAGGGTCAATATTTTGAATAATCGTAATGCTTATTAAATTGGAATTTCGCATACCCCAATACTTTTAATAACTCTAGGTCTGCTATAAAGGTGGGATAGATCGGACCACTCCTTCTGGTTCCTTCTCTACCAAAGAAACAAAATTTTGAAAAATCGCAACTTTTTGGTAAAAATTTTGAATACTCATCACCCTCATTAATGCAAAATGAGCACCCGAACCCTCAAGGTGTCAAAATGTTGACATACGTAAGTCTCATTACATTCGAAACAAGTCAGCGATTTTCTCCAAACTTCGGATATCCCAATTATTCAATCAACAAAAAATTACATAACAAGTAAAAAAAACATTAAGTTCGGCCCGGCCGAACTTATAATACCCTCTACCTTAAGGTAAATGAAACACTAGAACCCATTATGACTCACAAATACCAATTCTCAGACATATTCGTGGTAAAATGTAGCAAAAATCATTAAAATATCGAATATCGGGAGGTACCGCTATATGGTGCTATACAAAAAAGTGAAACTTTACATACAATATTTCGCCAACGGAGCTAGAACCCATTAGGACACACATACACCAATTTTTAGACAAATCTGCGAAGAAATGTGGCAAACATCATCAAAATACCGAATATCTAAGGGTACCGTTATATGGGAGCTATACCAACACGTTGACCTATATGTTTTGCCACCGCAGCCAGAACCCATTATGACCAACAAATACCAATTTTTAGACAAATCCATGAAAAAATGTGACAAAAATCGGGTGGTACCGTTATATGGGGGTTATACCAAAGCGGGGACCCATACACACAATGTTACGCCACACCAACTAGTGCTTGAAAACCCTCCACCATTTGGAAAGAATTTATGGAAGCTATACGAAGACCTGAACTTGCAGTACCTATTGCGCACTTCAAATACGAAATTTGAAACAGATCCGGTGCAGAATGTCGCTAAAATCAACAAAATACTGAATATAGGGAGGTACCGTTAAAGGGGGCTACATGAAGTCGTAGACAATTTCCTATCACAGGCTGTGGTACCCATAACGAATTTCAAATACGAAACTTGAAACAATTTCCATTAATAGTGTCGCAGCAATACATCGAAAATAGGGCGGTACCGTTATATGGGGGCTATACGAAGACCTGGACATGCATAGACGGTGTTCTGTCATAGGCTATAGTACCTATTAGGAACTTCAAATACTAAATTTGAAGCAGATCCGGTAAATATGTAATGTCGCTTAAATCATGAAAATACCAAATATTGGCAGGTTCAATACCAAAAGTCCTGCAAACGAAACACACATTTGAGTAAAATCTTTTCAACCTACTTCAATTGGTTCGAAAGCCAAAGTGATTCCCACAGATGGACAGATAGTCAGTAGGACGGTCATCGTTTAATCAACACAGAATTTTATACTGATCAAGAATATATGGTATCTGAAAAACCTAATTTTTCCTATTGACGATTTCTGATCTAAGCGGGTTAATTTAAGGAGTTAAATTAGAGTTTTTCTAAATATATTTGAAAATATTTTTGAGATTCTATTGTAAATTAAATATTTTACTAACAAATTTTTAAATTATAAATTAGATTAATTTGAATTTCTCTAACAACTGCAACTATGACAGACTCTGCAGGGAGAAAAATCATTTTTTATTCAAAAATGCCTATAAATTTCCACACCGAAAACGTTACTGTAACTACACACTTCAAAGTTGTACATTATGTACACGTAACATTATTACCTACTATAATATTACAAAGTTACGAAAGACTTTGTTATTTATTAATTACTATATAATTATATATGTAAATATTTAACTTTATTAAATTGTCAAATATTTTTTGTTTCTGTTACTTTTAGGCGACAAGCATATACGATGGCAGTGGTATGCCGCCACAGCAAACGCAATATCAACATGAAAGACGTAAGTAGATAAATTAAAAATGTTTTTAATAATGTTTATTAAGACCTAAAGTTCAATTTTGTTTGCCGTTGATAAGTTATTGTAATTACACAGAGAGCTAATGGTATACTCAAAACTGAATGGTGCTGGGCGTTATCAAAAGAACGGCACAATGGAGGGTAATTAATTAAATTTCGCAAAACTTAAACATGAAATTCATGCAGTTTTAAACAAATAAAAAATGACGTTATATCATACACAGTATTCATATATATTGGACCAAAAACTGAAAATTTCCTGATTTTGCAGTTGCTCTACAATTATAGACCTATCGACGCGAAAGTTAGCATGGGACTAGAGCATAGAGTGTGTATATACAAAGGAAAGGGATGTTAGCTAGAATGCTTATATCTCAAGAATTGTTGGACCGATTTTGACAAATTTTGTCAATCCAGAAAGCCCGCTTGGCAGAATAAAATCTAAAACAAGTAAGCAAAGGCTATAGTCGTCCAAATCTAATTTGGAAGATTTCGCTTTTGAAATATGTCACGGAGCACTGCCCAGATATTACCCTTAGTATTTTGACAAGGGACATCTGCACAATATGTACGCACTCCGTCGTGCTGTTAGTTGTTGTGGTCCACTTTACAGCTAAATATAATCCAATGGTCATCCAAAATACTAGAATTCTTCCCTGTCCTTAACTCTCTTCTCAGGCATGTCGATTGGCTTCAATTGTGTGATCAGGACATTTTTTCTGTCTTTGGTCCATTTGAACCCCTAAGTACATTGCGATCATCTCGAAATGAAAGAGGTTCCTCTGTATCTCCAAATTTAGACTCATCTATGTAATTTGACTAATTGTGTCAATTCACAATGCCCTCTTGGCATAAAAGTATAAAATCTAAAAAAATCGCATAAAAAGGTGCCGATTTTTTCAATTTGACTCATAATATTGAGGTGTACATTTTGTAATATTTTTTTTTTACTTTACAATACAGGTTGGGGCTATTATATACAGATTACAATTATCGTCCGATTATCACGAAAATTATAATTATTATATTTAGATGTAAAATGTAGACAGTGCTCCGTGACATAATTCCAAAAGCAAAATCTTCCAAAATGGATTTGGACATAAGGGAGCTTTTAATATATTGTAGTATTGTAGGGTATAGCCTTTGCTTACTTGTTTTCAAGTTGGCTTCTCATTTTGAATTCAATTTCTTTTTTATGAGCAAAATAATTTTTTAAATTGACATAATATATTGAAATGTAAATTTTTTATTGCTTTGAATTTTGAATGACAGATATAAAAAATGAAATGACTGCGCAATACGAAGTTAAATGGGGATCTTACAAACAAAAATGACAGACAAAGCGATAAGGGGCACATTCCAAAACGTGGGCCTCTTTCATTCATATGACAATAATCCGTCCAATGAGAGCCCAAAATGCAAAATTCATTGGGACTGCAATCTGTGAAATACCGAATATAAAGGGTACTAAATTGTAAAGCGAATTGGACATTTAGAAAGAAAAGGATTTATATCCTACCAGAAATTATTCCTTAACCTTCAAGATATCTTAAGTCGGTGATGATATGAGTTTTATCGGTTCACGTTTTGTTATAACACCCCTCTAAGTATGAATTTCGATTTCAAGTATATTTTACATTTTAGCAATATTTTTCATACTAATTTCGGCAAATGTTGGTATTTTGAGTTCTTAGTAAGAAGAAACTATCCATTCAAAAAAAATGATCACGTTTTGGTATAACCATCATATGATTTAAGCTATTTCTGGGGTCTTGGACACTTTTTTCAATTTTTTGGCCATTATTTGGCATCTTGATTCCTAAGGGAAAAGAAAATCTCTTCGTATAAAATTTTCAATTTTTGGAGCAGAGCTCATGTAGAGATATCTCCTGATCTTGGTCAATCGATTTACTTAAAAAAATGTATCAAGACTGTTCTGGGGTAGAGATCCATCTTACAAATAATTGCCCATACAGGCATATATTTAAGTATAGTCCCCACATTAGTGTACCCCTACCACGTCCACGTTTCCAATAAAAGTGTGTGATTTGTAAATTCCAAATTCGTGTGACGGTATTAGGTCAGAAAAAAATGTCTATATTAGGTTAACTCCGAAATGTCAAACTGGGACTCATTCAGTGGGAAATTGTGGCAGAAAAATGACAAAAAAAAAATACGAATATTAGAAAGTAACACGGGACCGAACATTTCTTTAATCGTCATTGTGATGAAACATATGGACTTTATGGGGTTTACTATGCACAATCTGAATGACATCTTACTGTAATGGGTGTAAAAAAGTAAATAACTTTGACTACTCTGAAATCATTCTGACCTCAATTATGAGCTGGACAAAACTAAGTACGGTCTTTTAAACGTTGGAAATACAAAATTCCAAATAACAGCTCATTTGAATGGAAACTGTTGCTAAGATCTTTACAATACCAAAAATTGAGCTAAGCTATCACATGTGCCATTGTAGATTTCATATACAGGGTTGCCCATATTCGACGGACCCATCTGGCAACGCCATAACTTTTGACAGAGATGTCACATCGCTTAATGATATACCGCTTTTGAAGCGTCAGTCCAAGCAGATTTTTACCATGAACCAATACACGCCACACGAGCGCTCTGAAATAGTTGAAATTTACATTCAACAGAAGAAGTCAATTGTGAAAACTCAACGTGCTTTTAAAACATTAAAAAATGTGAGAAGTGCGCCTTCTAAGAACACCATTAAGCGTATATACGAAAAATCGACTGGTAAGGCTCTTTCTAATCCGAAGAGGCCAAATAAAAGTCGACCAAGGCGATCGGCCGAGAATATCGCTGCCGTACGAGCCAGTGTTGAGAGGTCCCCAAGAACATCCCAAAAACGCCGTTCTCAGCAGTTGGGCATGGCTCGGTCCACTTTACAACGGATTATTCGCATTGATTTGCATTTGTTCCCGTACAAAATTCAATTGACGCAAAGAATGTTGCCTGCGGACAAGCCTCGTAGGATGGAATGGGCCCATGGGTCCATATGGGCAACCCTGTATCAATTATGTTTTGAACACTTAAATTAGAGCCTATGGCTAAAAAATTGGATCATGCTATTTAATCATTTCAGGTTATTATTAGTTTTGACATGAATATTTATTTCTATTTAGAAATTGTTATCGAGACATGTAATAAAAATTGTGATACTTTATAAGTCTTATCTGTGTTTTATAATGTTAAGCCAAGTAAAAAAGCTGTAAATTCGGCCGTGCTGAAATGTTATCATTTATCAACAACAACATTATTAACTAAAATTTTTTAGAGCTTAATTTTGCCCATGTCATTTCTCCGATGCGATGGATTTTGCTTTCCATTTTATTTATTCCCCAAAAAAAAGGAAACATTTGTAGCTATTGCACATTATTGCTCTGATTTGCATTTGTAAACATATACAATTTGATTCATACTCGAAACGGAAGTTGCACACACCCTTATTCCCTAAGTAAACACAAAGCGTTTACCAAAGGATATGCAACGTATGAATATATGCATGCCTGCATATATACTTGATCAAAATACATTGGAATATACATACGTGTTCGATGCATGCTCTGGCAAATTTGATGTTGTTAATGTGTTCCCTGACCGAGTTGAATGCAACACCAATTGATATTTTGAAAATAAACATGCATTTATTATCGAGTTGAAAATATATATTTTTTTGCACTCTCTTTGCTTCAGCATGGTTACAATTCATAATTGTAGACCATTCACTTTCTTGTGTCACCCTTTTAAAGGGCCAAAATATTTATTACCATACCCGACCGGAAAGTAATGGAGGAAATATCAATACATTTGGTAAATTCAAGTGATTTTTGGGTGGAAAATGGATGTTTTTTTTGCGATTTCACTTAATCAAAATATTTTTAAAAATAGGTGGAATTATTTTTAAAATATTGAAAGAATATGCAACAAATCGGTGTTTTGTGCTAGTTGGAACAATGGACCAATAGAATACCGGAATGGAGGGGTTGTTTACTCAACCACGCATCCTTTAACCTAACCTAGTTATTATGAAATTACTTGAAAAAAATATTCAGTATTTGCAGGTATTGGTAAATCGACGTGGTGGTTTTAATAGCATACAACGATGCATCGACTCAGAATTTACAATGATATGTGCAACAAATATTTAGAGGTGTTACAATTCAAATAATAAAATTAATGTAACCAAAAGAGTAACAAACTAACGATTCACCTACTCAGCTCAAACGACGATTTTTTGCATATGAACACACCCATCTCCACCCATCACACATGTAAATACACGAATGATTGTAGCAAGTGAAACAAAAAATTGAACGTGTTGGTAACACCTTTTTGTCGTTGTGTGGTAACGAAATGCAAACATTCAACATTGAATGTTGACACAGATATTGGAGCAAAAAAAAAAAAAAAAAAAAAAAACTCACTAACATATTTAATGTTGGCTATATGTATATGTAGTTTGTGTACGAAATGATAACTTTAGAACGAATAACACCAATTGCAACGAAATTGAAAAAAAATCTTATGGCTGGAAGTTGCAAGCGACAGACAATGTTGGTCACCGACACATTCAATTGTTAGCTATATCAGACTGTGCCATTACTCTCAAATACATTGACAAAAAATAACAAAAACAATACTTGATTCAGTGCAATGTGGAAATATGTAATAACATGCCATGATGCGGCCACATCAAATTGCATGACTTCACAATCAAAAGTCAACATTTTGCATAACAATTCATTGAAATTATTCAACAGCACATAAAATTTAAATACTTCCCAACACACCAAAAATTATTGAAAATCAGTAAAGAGGACGTTATGAGAGGTCACTCCGAATTCTAGAAGGGTTAAATAAGAATACATACATATGTACGAATGCCCTCAAAATCTCGAATATCGGACAATATATGAAATATATCGCAACGTGGATCTCTATGGAGCTTTTAATGCTAGCATATCAAATATAAAAAAAAAAAATTATCTCAAATAAGGCAATAACTTTTAATAGACCTAATTTTGGTTGTTGCATTGAAACATAGTAGAGAAAAAATACTTTATTTTCCCTTCTTTAAAAGAAGAATAGCATTATGCTTAGTTAGCTATTTATATCATTATATTAGTTACATTCAAAGTCCTCTCTGCTACATATATGAAATATAGAACATTTTAGTTGCAATTAATACCGTAATTATTAATACCCATTGGGCCAAAAAGTTTGAAATATTGGTCCTGGACATAGGGTGTTTAGGATTGGATTGGACTCATGACCATCCAAATTAGTGCCTACTAATCATTAGTCATGGAATAATATTTAGAGTGTAAAATATAACATAACTTTTATTTTATTAAAAAAAAAACCGCGAATAATTTTAATTCCAGCGAAATCGCACATACACGAAAAGCACACTTCTGAATCTTAAATTGATGCTGATATCCAAAGTATACATATTCTTGATCAGCATAAAATTCGATGTCAACTCAGCGATGTCCGCCCGACTGTCTACTTATCCGCCTGTCCGTCTGTGGGAATCATTTTAGCTTTTGAACGAATTGAAGTAGGTTGATAAAATTTTACTCAGATGTGTGCTTGTTCTGCGGGACTTTTGGGTTGGTATACGTTTGGTTATAGCCCCCATACAACGGTATCCCCCTATATTCGATATTTTGATGATTTTAGAGACATTATTCGCCGAAATTGCTTCAAATTTCCTATTTAAAGTTCCTAATGGGTACTGCAAGCTATGATAGAAAATTGTCTATGTATAGCCCCTAAATATCGGTACCTTTCTATATTCGATAATTTGATGATTTTAGCTTCATTGGAATTGTTTCAAGTATCGTATTTGAATAAAGATCAAATCGGATGAAAGATAACAAAAATAGCCTATGCAGGCCCACTTCTTGGTATAGACCCAAATATAACCGTTACTCCCTATACACGGTATTTTTATGATTTTAGCAGTATTTTTCAATTTATTTTAATTTCCAAATTCCTTCCAAATGGTGGAGAGTATTCAAAGTTTGGCCCGATCGAATTTACTACATTTTTACTCGTTTTAAATATATTTTGGCTTGCGTTTATTCAATCTGTTTAATCCATAAAAGAGAGGTTCCGAAGGATTTGGCCAATATTGTCAATTTCATAAATGATCTAACGTGCCAAATATCCAATATTTACAATTGAGATATACTATAATTTTTTGAAAATATCGAAATATATGTGAGGTACCAGATATTGTGGACCGAAGTGTTCCACTCCATGTAATACTAATAAAATTATAAAGGACATTTAAAAAAAGTGTATTATTTTATGCGAATAAGTTTTAAAAAATGTTAACCCTTGTGGAGAAGGTACAAAATGGTGTGGCCGATATGTCCCACTATTACACTAGATTTGTGTTGGAAGCAAACACACTATCGGACTTTTATTTCACATTTAAAAAGAGTTGTATTTATTTCAATGTTTTATCCCTGTTTGGGGAGGTGCCAGAAGGAGTGGTCCCACATATTCCATCCTCACAACAAATCTTATGTCGATAGAAATATTGAGATGTGACAAATTTTAAAGAATTTGGATGTTCATTTCGCGTTTTAGTCAAAACAATTAATTCGATTAGGCACGTTTTGGCCGTATCAAATGATATATACCCTCTGTAGCAGTAGAATTTGTTTTTCAGGTTAGAGTTTAGGAGCTCTGAAGCCCAGTTTTCGGATGGTCATAGGATAATATTTAGTGGGTGAAATGGATTTTATGTTGATATGAAATTGAAATTGTTATTCTCGGTATGTTGGGTGGTTCTTTGATTGACTGAGTAGCTGGGAATACCTTTGTGGTTGATGTGTATTTTGCTAAATAAATATTTGTGTTGAATTATTCCATCACTTAAACAATGGAAATTATAATGAAATGTTTTTATTTTTCATTTCAGCTTATCGTACTATAAAAGGTGAAAAAGGTGATCGTGGACCCAAGGGACCACCTGGTGATAGCATACGTGGTCCCCCGGGACCACCAGGTCCTGCTGGTCCTAAGGGTGAACCAGGATCATTTCCGCCTTTTATCGATTTTGCGAGTAATCCGGAAGCGGTAAGTGTATAAATAATATAAAAGATATATAAGCCATTGCTGATTTGGTTTTACTGCAATATTGCTGTCAAATTCGATACTATATTTTTGTTTTAATTTCCGATTTTAAGTACATTTGGGATAAACTTTTTTTGTGCGTCACAAATTTTTTCCCTGATAATAGAATGACAATGCCGTTGGTACTGAAACTGTTGTACGGTCTATTCAATATTTGAAATTATTTTATGCAAATGTTGACCGGAACTACGCCTCAAATGGTCCATCCGATTAGTCCAATTATGACATACTCTTTTCAACATTTCGGCCAGTATCTCACGAATAAATGCTTCAACGTTGTCTTCCAGTAAGTCTACATAGACTTTATATTTAACATAGCCCAAAAATAGTCTATAGGCACACACACGCTCTGCGCTCCCAAATTGTTCACCGAACTCGACTCTCAATAAGCCCTTTGTTACACGTGCATGCGAATCAAGCTCTTGCATTTTGGGAAAATAATGTTCGATATTATCTCACGGTAGCGCTCACCATTCACAGTTACGTTACGATTCGCAGCATTATTGAAGATGTACAGTCTATTGATGCCACCAGCCCCTAAACGGCACCAAACTGTAATTTTTATACCCTCCACAATACATAGACGAACTTAACATACCCTCCATATATACAGTTAGTCGTTCCGTTTGTAACATATCGAAATAATAATGTTAGGCATATATTTTATATATTCTTGAACAGCATAAAATTCTAAGACGATTCAGCCCTGTCCGTCCATCCGTCAGTTGTAACAAGCTAGACTCAAAACGAATGAAGATAGGAAGCTAGAATTTTGCACAGATCAGTCTTTTATGTGCAGTCAGGTCAAGTTCGAAGATGGGCTACATCGGTCCATGACATCGTATAGCCTCTATACAACGGTACCGCCGATTTTGGTATTTTGATTATTTTAGTCACATTTTTCAATAAAATTGTCTGAAAATCCACAGAAGTAGTTCCTTCTGAGTACTCTACCCCCTAGAAGTGTATTGTCTATATATGTCCATGATATCGTATATCCCCCATACAACGGTACCTCCCTATATTCGATATTTTGATAATTTTAGCTACATTTTTCAATGGATGGGACTAAAAATCCATGCTATAAGTTCTTTCTAAGCCCTTTACCCCTCGAAGAGAAATGTCTATGTCTATATAGCCCACATACAACGGTACCCCCACTATTCGATATTTTTATGATTATAGGGACATTATTCCTATGGGCCCCATATATCAGTACCTCCCTATATTCGCTATTTCAACGATTTTAAGTAAAATATTTTTTGAAAACTTACAAAATCGTTGAAAATCGTGGAGGATATTTAAAGTTCGGCCGGGCCAAACTTACTGCTTTTTAATTTGTTTCTGGAGGCATTGGTGCATTTGCAATGCTTATGGCTGATCTTTAGTGCCAAATCGACAGGTTTGCTTATTTACATATCCATTGAGCCAAAAAGAGCTCCGTCACTGAACACAATTTTTCTTCAATCTTTTTTCTACACATCTAAATCTTTAAATCAAAGACAAAATACTTATTAAAGAAAAATTACAATTTAATAACTTACAGATTTAGTAATGCAAATATAAAAAAAATATACCTTTAAAAAAGAGAACTGAAGAAGAAACAAATTCAGAATAATTACGATTTATGTTACCAAGGAGCATATCAATGCATAAACATGCATGCCTGAATATTCATAAAATACACACACACACACAGTTTCAATTAAGCATAGCAACTCTGATGCTAATCGCATAGGGAATACGTACAATATCAATATATTTGACCATAGATTGTATTATTTTTACAAAGAATTTTTAAATCAAATATAAACGTTTGTCATGAGCAATAATATAGATATGCAAGTGATAGAAGTTTTTTGTCAAAATTAGTTTTAATCTATGGGAATTTGTTATTTGCTATATATACTTGTAAATCTTTCCACTTCAACGCACAGAAAATGATTTTTTTTTTCAATGTTTTCATAAGCGATAATTTCGGATATGATATCCTTTACCACGAGGTAATGAAAACATTGATAAATTCGTCAGAATCGGACACACTATGTTATGATTTTACATATTCATGGCAAAGTCTGCGTAGCAAATTGCAAATAAACGTAATTCAAACAAGTAACCAAAGGCTATATTCGGACGAGGCCAACGTCTTGATGCCCTACAACACTAAAATTTGCAGTAAAGTTTCAACAGATCTGAAAACCTTTTGACTAGTATGAAGATTCCCATGAGAAACATTACCATATCCACTACGTAATGAAAGCCAGCAAGCGAAGCAAATTTTCCTACTAAGTTAAATACCTACTTCGTTGTTTCGGAAAGTACAGAAATTTGACATTCAATTTTTTCCATACATATTGAACATTCTATTTCCATATAATAATGCCGCAAAAGTTTTATCTTGACCTTTGACCGATATTGAGGTCCTGCAAATCTTCGCAACATTTACCCCATTTTTAGCCCTATATCGAGTTTCAAATATTGAATAATTTGCCAATACCCATTTCAAGACAATATTTGAAAATTTTGATTCAGCCTATATGATTTACAGTAGCTCCCATATTTGGGTCAGACAAAGCGCCATTAATGAAATTGTGATTTTTTAAATTTTCGATTTGTGGTCCATTAACCAGTTAAAAATAAACCGATGTCCATCCAAAATTCCAGCGCGGTCCTAAACTCTAATCTCGTGATGATCGGACGATAAATGTGACCATAATATAAAACCCACAACATATAGTGTTGTAATGTGAAAGAAATATTATAAAATGTACAATACAATATCGTAAGCCAAATTGAAAAAAATCTCATGCGATAAAAAATATTAAAAATAGGACATATTTTTTCCCGATTTTTGTAATTTTTTTTCTTTTCTGCCAAAAATTCATTCTGTATTGGCGAGAATTGTCAAAATCCAGCCCTCTTTGAATTATAAGCGGTCTAACTAACGCCACCTTCTTTGATATATGAGATGATATATATTTTGCTATATATACGATATCTTGGAGTGTAGCATCAATGTGATTTCGCCGGGATTAAAAATATTCGCGGTTTAGTAAAAAAGTTAGTATTTGTTTACATAAAAGTTAAAGCCTATTTTACCCCTTTAATATTTTAAGAGAACCAAACAATATGGTAGACTTATGTCCTGCTTTAAACTCTGTGTCCATATATTTTATATATATTTCTCCCAGCACATAGTGTTGTAGGGTATAGATACAATTTTAATTTAACAATTTAACCCCTCCAGTCTTCGGATAGGCATTTTCATTAGCTTTAAAATTATACGAATATTGTCCATTACGGTTCAGTAGATCCACGTCTAACCTGAGTCTTATAATTTCATTTTCTGGTGAAATAACTGCGTTCCGGGTCAATTCCCTCAAAAAAATGCTTTGCCAGAAACAGGGTACAGATATCTACCTCTGGAAAACATTTGTGAAAAATTAGAGAGTTTTTACCGAACTGCAGTTAAGCTTAGGAGGAACCCTTATAAGAGTTCTTTACCGAATGTGGATCGATTTGACATTTAAGCTCATCAAAGCTGAATAATGCCACTGCAAAGTTTTGTTCAAATTGGTTCAGATTTCGATGAACCGATGTATATATTAACAACAAATGTCATATTAGGGATTACTAGGATATGATTTGCAGTACGATTTCAACGAATTCAACTGAAGTACTATTTTATTAAATTATATAATCTTTTCCAGTACGTTCAAGAATATGGGAAATATTCCAGAAAGTAAGGTAATAATAGGAATATGCATATAGTTGTCAAAAATAACTTTTCCAAACTGCAACCAACTTCAGACTGCTATCATTTTAAGCCACTCGTCCGAATACTGTTGTTTATAATGGTACAAAAGCATTTTGGTGACAATTTTCTTAAAAAAAGTTATTCGTGATGGAATTCAAGCGCGATTTCTTAATATTTGGCTGGAAAACAACAAGTGGCTATCGTTAGAGCACTCCAGCAATTAAATGTGAATAAATCTTTTGTGTCTCGTACCATCGCTCGTCACCGTGATACTGGCAGCGTAGCCCGACGTCAAGGAAGTGGACGGAAGAAAACAGCAACATTAGCAGAAATGGTTTGATAAGTAAAGAAACAACTTGATCGAAACCCGCAATATTCCATTCGCCAAATATTGAAAAATGAGCTCGAGGTAAAGCCATTGAAATTCCAAAATGTGCAAGAACTTACACAGCAACAGAAAGAAAATAGACTCAGAAGAGCTAAAGAGTTGCTTCGCTTGACCGACAGCCGATGGTCGCTCTCCGCCCGTATAAATCGACCGTCGCATCGGAATAAATGCCGAATATTATCGCGAAAATATTCTGAAGGGTGTATTAAAGCCTTGGGCAGGCAAACATTTTGGCCGCAGACCTTGGTCATTCCAAGAGGACTCAGCACCATCGCACTCAGCACGCGCCATCCAAGAATGGTTACAAACTAAAATCCCTAGCTTCATTTCCAGCGCCACCAATGGCCACCAAAATCTCCGGATACCAATCCGTTGGACTATTGTATCTGGAGTATTTTGGAAAGCTAGGTTGGGCCAAACTGGACAGAAACCTAACAATTTGGACGGCTACCGGACAATAATCAGACCCTAACTTTTATGTAAGAAAATAGGAAAAATTCCACAAAACCACGATTTTTACAATTACATCAATTCGGAATGGTATCTTGCCAGAAAACGATAGAATCTAAGAAAATCGCCGAAAAATATTCCAATAAAAATGTGAATATCTTTTGTTCCATTTTTTGAAACTTTTGTCATATTTGTATCGCATGCGATTTTTTCAATTTTAAATTGTAAATTTTCTAAATTTTTACTCCCTTCAAAACTACTTTTAGAGGGAATTATATGCATGTCGCAATTATCGTCCGATCCTCACGAAATTTGGCATAGGGGTAGAGTTAGGTCAGAATTATAGCC